AGGCTCAACAATACCTTAAAAAATAAACCATAAAGAGACTGACTGATACAAATATTAAGATACGAACTGTCGCCTTGCAAAGGAAGGATGTTATAAAGATCAGTTTCATGTTGCAGTAAGGAATGGTACAATGACACAATGTTGCTCAAGTCCCTAGTGGTCAGAAACACTAACAAATTAGAAACTATGAAACAAACTGTTGACACACCACTGTAATAAAATCATTTTAAATACTGGATTTGTTAGATGACTTTACATTACATCAATCCGTAAACAAAAAAATTACACTATGTCAGAGAGTTTTTTTAATAAGTGTGAAGGTTAGAGATGCACCATTAGTATTTCTGACCAAACTTTGATCCACTGGTAATTTTAGCCAATTCTGACCTTTAAGAGCTATAAGAAAAATGTTTCTTATACCCTTTTTACAGTGACTGGTCAATGATTTTCTTTTATTTTAACATCAGAGTTGATGTCTGAATGTGTGAGGAGTTCTTGTAAAGCTGGGTTTTCACTATTATTTTAAGGGTCAGCTACACAAAACTCCATCGTTTTAATTGCTATGGTTTTGGCAAAATATACATGACATGAATTAGATTGTGTACATATTAATTTACACAAGTAACTGAACAGAAACCAAGTCAGGGCAAAGTGAGAAATATTAAATAACCCACAAAAAGGCTCCATTTTCTTTGTGGTTGCTAGCATAGACAAAGAATGTAGGCAAGTGCGAAGTGGGTTTCAATCATAATTTATATTTAAAATATTTCCTGATATCCTGGTTGAATGTTTTTGCCACCAAGGAATATGCTTAAATATGAGAGAGGGTACAAAAGAGCAGTAAAACAATTATTAATGTGGAGGACCTTAAAACTAAGATGAAATGATTACAAAGTTGGCATTTAAAACCATCCTTAGTATCAAATATTAGTGATTAGCACAGTTAGCGTTAATGACTGTACACATCTGTCTCTGTGTGTATTTCCTAGAGAATGCAAAACCTTATTTTAACTAAGATTTCCAAAAGGCAGACAAAATATCTAAATCCAGCAGGTTCCCTGACAAACAGAGGCTGAAAACCCAAATGCACAGTTGCTAAGCCTTCTTATGAGGTGACTGAATTGGTTTCTCTCTCACAGCCTAAGTAAACGCCACCAAAGTTTTAATATAGATCACAGAAAATAGTTTCCTTCGAATTACCTTCTAACGTGTAGTTTCCCTCTGTTTTACATTAAACACCTTGATGTCATTAGACATACCTTAGAGCCTTCTCCAGACTGAAGAGTAATCTGTTTAGTGCAGGTTATACATCACAAAAAGGATGAAAATTTTGAGTTCATGATACTTTTTTTTAAGGCTGGCCAAGCTGAAACTTCACCTGAATCTGATTGTGCATCTTGTTTTGTTCAGCTTGAAACGGCCCCCACTAAAGGCCTGTGACATACTCATCAGCAGCTCAGAAGTGGATGAAGAATATCCTGGAGTTTAATCAGGAAAAGTGCAAAACAAATCTGAGTGAGACTGATTTAGGCAGCTTAGGTCTTTAAGAAAAAGTCCACTCAAAGTTTAACTACATCACCACATTTGTGAGTTGCAAGTGCCTTCTAAGAAAGATTTAATATTCTACATTTACTTTTAATCATTGATACAGTACATTCTTACTTCAGTGCTGTTTTAAATATACGTTCAGTGCTCAGTGTTGTACAGAATTGAATAAGTATCTGAGGTTAGCCTTAACCGATGCAGATGCCATCTTCAGGTCGACCCCTGATTTCCCTTCTCAGCGCAATTAAAAGGCTGATGAATAATTTCAAACGATAAGACCACCACCAAGTATCTAAGCAGCATCCCATCCAAAGCTACCTCCTCTTAAACCGAGATAATGTTGCGGCTGCTGCTCCTGTCAGCATAAACCATCACCACTAAAGACTCAGACTCTGTCCAGACTTTTGGATGGGTTCCAGCGATCCCGTGACCTGGAAGTTTATCCCGTCTCCAACAAGCGGTGATGGGATAAGCGGGGAGAGCCAGCAGATGTACCAGCGAAGGCCCAGCATCTGCCGCAGGTTGTTAACGGGACCCAGGTTGTAGGGGCGGCGAGAAGAGTACCACTCCCTGGTGGTCTGCCCTCGAAACAGCAAGAACAGGTGGAAGAAGAAGAAGGCGGAGACAAGCAGGAAACCCACAACGCAGGTGTCGGCGATGAAGGCAAAGGTGAAGGCCCGCGCTGAAACCTGGCCTGAAAAACAAAGGAAGATATTAGCTTGTATAATTTCAAGAAAGGTAATTATAAGAATGTCTGAACCGAAATGTCTGTTCTTACAAATTGTTTCCCTCAGCTTTAAATTAATTAAAAAAGAACTATAAGTGTAACATTTTGAAGCGAATCCAACTTGGAGCTAATATTAAAAGCTACAAAGAACACAAACGAAAGGTACAAGGCAGCCAGTGTCGCAGACCTGAAACAAGCATGATCCAGGGTATGAGCAGCAGCAGGATGCTGTGCAGAGTCACGCCCTCCTTCAGAATGACGATGAAGACCTCGGCATTCATCACCATGGCATAGAGGAGACCCAACCACATGAACAACAAGCAGCACAGGAAGTAGCGGTAGTTGCGGAAGCCGACACACTGGCCGAAGAAAACGCAGTGGTGATCCCGCCGCAGAACGCACACCTTGCAGTCATAGCAGTGGGAGCAGCGAGGAGGCGTGTGTGTCTCGCACGTGTAACAGTACCTGCGTAACAAAAGACAACAAAATATTATTTAATGCTGAAGATGTTTTAGATAGTTTTGCTTTGCTACAGTGAGTATCACAGAAATACAAACTGAACTTTTAGCCTAACATGAACTTTTAGCTGATACTTTTCTATTGACAAATTAATTCTAAGACAGTAGTTAAGCATTTACTAACTTTAGTTTAGAAGTACTAAGATAAACGTAATTTCGACATTGTGCTGAATTTTTTTTTTTTTTTTTTTTTTTAAAAAACAAGAATTTTGTTATTATTGCACATGAAAGCTATAATGGAAAAAGCTCAATATTTTGCTTACTTGTAAAAACTCAAAACAACCATTTTAGTCGGGATTCCTGCAGGACAGGAGCATAATAACACAAAAAATTCAGTCTCCACATGTGGAAAGCTTACAGAGTCATACTCCAAAGAACTGCAGCTGTAACTGCAATATTTTCTGTAAAGATTTTGTTCTGGACTAGTATCCTTCATAAGGACTTTGTATTGATTTGTCACATAAAATCTCACCAAAATACAACGAACTAATGTGGAAATTATTTTAATACTTTTACAAGGCACTGTAACACTGCACTGACATTTTTGTAACTCTATACGTTTAGGAAATTTTAGCATGCCAACCAGACACTTAACAGGTTTTACAGAAAGACCTGCATTACTAACTACAGTTTATTGAAAACAATAATATGACTGCCATCCAGTCTGCCAAAGTTATCTTCTCAAGGACAAGCTAAGATGAGATCTCTGTGTAAACAAAACATCTTTTACCCAACAAACTGATATTGATGTGACCTTTTGGATATTGACACATTATCAAAATGTAAAAGAACATTATCTTCATTAATTTTGTTCTTGCTTAATTTAGGACAATCCAGAATGAAATTAACTTAATCTTGCGTTATATAGAGTTGAAATTGAGGAGAAAAACTAGTAAAAAGGCGTGTGTATTTATTGACAGATGGGTTCCTAACCGCTTTCTTACCTCCAGCCCTGGCCCAGTCCATTTCCTCCCAGGAACACCCCCTTGATGCTGGGGCTGACTTTCAGGAAGAGAAAAGCGTTCCAGCAGATGTTTCCCAGCATGAAGTACTGGCCCAGCAAGTGCAGCGCCTTCCACCAGGAGGACCACGCCGTCTTCTGTTGCTCCGCCTCCAGCGGAGCCGCCACCAGCACCAGGTAGCTCACCTCCCCGGTGATGGAGAACACCAGGAAGGTGTTGAGGAACACAGGGAGCTGTTCGCAAAGCTTCCCGACCTTGCAGAACAACCGGCTGCCCAACCCTGTCATGTTTAAAGTAAAACTAAAACCGCGACGTGGTCAGCGTATTGAAGGAACGATTTTACAGACGCACAGTGGATGGTTAGCAAGCGGCTAGTCAAATAATACTCTGTTCGCTTTGCTACGCGACTCTCAATTAATTGTGTTGAGTCACAAACCTTCGGGAAACATTATTCTGGCCTAAAATACGAAATCACGTTAATCTTTGTTGAAAAATAAATCAAAGATTACTCTTTAGATAAGGAACTGCTCTGTTGAATTTCTCTCAAATCACGTTCGAGTTGTAGTGCTACATGATAATACAACCGGAGGGGGACAACATAGTACAGTTCCGCGTGTTAAAATTGCCTCCGCCTTTTTCAAACTTTCATGTCACATACAGAATATTTGTCTTTTTTTCTGCACCTATTTTACATTATCTTAAAACCCAAATAATATCCAGATATTTAAACTCATCCTTTACATCCCCATCATTTCTCTTTGAGTGTACATTTCTCACAATTAGCTTTATTAATCCTCCTCCTCCTATTATTATTATTATTATTATTATTATTATTATTATTATTATTATTATTATTATTATTATTATTATTATTTATTTTTTNTATTACTACTACTACTACTACTACTACTACTACTACTAATAATAATAATAATAATAATAATAGTAGTAGTAATGTTAATATGATCAGCAGTAATATTATTCTTAATTTAAACAACAGTAATTATTAACAACAATGACAACAAATAATAAAAAATATTATTATTATTATTGCTGAATAATTATTATTAGTAATAGTATTAAAAAGCATAAAACAAACCATAAAAAGACCCATTAAGACTGATTTTTAAAACAAAATCATTGTGCATTTAAAAGAGCGCTTCAGAAAGGTTATGTGTACTGTGTATGTGGATTGGCAGCATGGGTATGGTCCCTCCCCCTTAAAGCATCGCTCTTAATCCCAGATAATCTGTTCATCTAAGGAGCTCAGCCAGTCATGGCTGCACCATGGGAGAATTCGCTTTCATTTGAGCATCTTACCAGCATGGATCAAAATACTTTTACCAAACAAAGAGAGCTTTTTAGAAAGAAAAGGTAAGGTACTCAAAAAGACACCTGGCAGGCTTGACACATCTGAGGTTTATACTGTCTGTAGCTTTGTCTTAAAGCTTCAGAAAAAATGATCCACTTGACAGTATGGTACTTATTGTTTTACAACAACCTGTTAATGTTACAGTAGTCTGGATGAATGTACAGTGCTGGTTAGAAGTTTACATACATCATTGATGTGAATGATGCAACTGACAGTTTTAAATTTCTCCAAAGATTCTTCTGGTCAAAAAAATCTTTGCCTCCTCTGACTATAAAACTTTCCTACAGAAAAGATTTGGCTTGTTCACAAAGGCAGCATGCAGAAGATGAATTTTCCCTACTACTTTAATCCAGTGCAAACACGACATGGCCTGGGGTGCAGATACAGAATGATCCACGCTGCATGCCACCACAGTTTTTAAAATTTCCCTCTCTAATTTCCTGCAGCAGAGGGATGCAACTTCAGCAGCGTCTGCAGGAGCTGAAGGAGAGAGAGCGCAGAGCCCAGCAGCACAACAGGCAGCTTCTCCTGCAGTTTGAGAGAGCCCAGGACACACTGAAGGAGATGCTGGCCCACAACGCTGCCATGAAAACTATACGGGTTACAGGATGCACACAGCCAACGCACAAACACAATGACCTGCACTGTCAGATTCTCAAACAGTTTTTTTTTATTTAGCAGCAATCAGAGCGAGACAGAGCAGTTCTGTTGGTGGCGACAGATAACAGTGACAGTAAAGGCATTAAGTGAAATTAAATTCAGTAACTGGGAGATGTTTTAAAGTAACTCAGGATTGAAAGTTTGCCTTAGAGTTTAACAGTTATTTAAATGTACACTTTAACATTTTCAGATGGAGTATGAGCGTTACCTGGAGGAAAACCTCCACCGCTGGCAGCAGCAGCTTCAGGAGAAAACTGAGGCCTCTCACAAGAAGGTACAACCACAGCTTTACCAAACTCACTGGCTCACTTCATCACCTTAAAAAATATTTATTACTGTTAAACCTTTTCCCATTTTGTCACAACTAAGAAAAGATGAAAATATTTTTGAAATTCTATGTTACAGATCAAAACTAAAGTGTGCTATACATTTACATTGGTGATAGTAGACAAAGCCCCTAAAAAAACCTGCAGTAGACAATTGTTTTGCAAAGTATGAATTAAGACCTTAAACCAAATGTGCTCCACATTTTTTCAAATTTGAGGCAAAATTGTTCTTCCACTTCACAAGTACGCATTGCTTTCTTCAAATAAATAAAACCTCTTGATATCACTATATTTTCTCCATAAGCCCTCCTTTTAAAAAAAGTGTTTCTAAAAAAATAATTTTCTGTTTATTGTTCATAATATTAGTCATTTATTTCCTCAACAGAGAATGGAAGATTGTTTGAAGTCTTATCTGCAACACAGTAAAGATCAAGTCTCAACAGCAACAGTTGATGAGCCTCTGATTTCACAAGGTTTGTTTTCTTCTTTTGCTACTTGAAGATATGAGGTTGCAAACAGTTTTTCTTGTTAAAGAAGCTGGATGCTTGGAGCTTCTTCCACCAGGTTCCTCTTTATTCACAGATCCTTTCATAAAGGCTCCAAAAGTTGATGCTCCTCAAGCGTTTTTCACCGAAGGAAGCTCTGCTTATAGCCGACATCGTTCCTCCTGTTATCCCCATAAGGAGCCCTCCTGGCTAACCCAAGCAGGCGTGCCTCCAGGTTTCCTCCAAATGCCTTTTCAACCCCAGAGTCCCTCACCCTTCCCTCCACCCAACTTCCCAGATCCTCATCCACTTCTGCTCCAACACCTCACCTCCCCATTTGATCATTATCGGCCGTGGGTCAGGTCCGAAGATGTAGGCCGCGCTCCTGAACGCTACAGTCACCCCTGCTCTGATGGGATCGCTGTGGGATCTGCAGGTCAGCTCCACACTGAGGAGCCGCCAGCGTCGAGTGCTTCTCACGTTGTAGAGCGAGAAAATGAGACGAGCGCAGCAAATTCAAAGAGGGTGAGAGGTGGTGGGGGCGGAAGGTGTTTGTCCTCTGAGCTCGACATTAAACCAGGTGAAAAACAGGAGGAAACAAACCCTGTATGTAACTAAAGTGCACACGTTTGTCCGATTGATCATTTCTTTGCATCCTGCAGTCCGTCTCTCTAGTGGACATGTGGAAAGCAGTGAGAGCGGCAGAGATTCCAGTTTGACCAGCAGAGAGAAGAAGAAAAGAGAGAAGAAAGGAAGAACAGAGGCTTCGTCCTCAGAGTCAGAAAGACCCGGTTCTCAGAGGTAACAAATAATGATTATGTTCACTCGGATACATCAGCCTCACCAACAATACGTGCCTCCATAATCTATGGCCAAAACAATACACAGCCATGTGCAAATATTTTAAACAATCCTTCATTTCTGAACGATATGTCTGAAGAAACGTATCACGATATATAAACGTTTCATATCAGCCGATATTGATAATTATAGGTTTTTGCTTTAAATATCTGAAATAATGACAAACTGATGACTTCAACTTTCCTGCTTTATCTACAGTTTTCACTCCACCCACTGTTTTTTTTTTTCCAAGTTGTTATGAAGCACAGAGGGGAAACCTGAAACTACATAATTAAACTCAGATCTTTAAAATAAGCTAAAAAAAGATCAAAACCTAATAAGTTGGTTTTATTTTATCTGACTGAAGCTGGAAGACAGCTATTGTAACTGTGTTCATCATTATCTTGTAGTTTAAGGATTTCTTACTGGAAAACTAAAGTTAGCTGTTTAGAAAAATAAACTGTTATTGTTCTCTCGTAGGGTTAGCTCTCAAATCTCCGTGTTTCAACCGTCTCTTATCAGGTCATCCAGGACTTCCAGTGAGGTCGTCGCTGCCTCCTGCGCCGTCGCCCTGGACTCAGAAACAAGCTGCTCCTCTGAGGAAGGAGGCACAGCAAGCAGAGGGAGGCTAGAGCGAGGCAGGGGGGTCAACACTGGGTCACCACCACCCGAGAAGGAGGCAGAGGAGCCTAGCAGGAGTGAGGAAGAGGAGCAGACTGACAGCTTAAGTGAAAAAACAAGGAGTCCAGCTCAAGACAATAAATCAGGAAGCTGTAAAGGAGATGATGTAGCAAAAAGTGAAAATAGAGATGAGGAAGTTCACAGCTCCGAGCAAAGCATCGCAGAAGAAAAGGATGAAGAAGAAGGAAAGAAAAACCAAGGATCTGTAGATGAAGAGAAAGAGAAGGAGGTGAAAAGTGAAGAGGGTGGTGATGCTGAGGAAGACGATGAGGAGAGCAACGATGAGATTCCTCCAAATAGGAATCAAAAGGAGGATAAGGATGAGGAAGAAGACGAAGATCAGTCAGAAAAACTGGAGAATGAAAGCAGAGATGACGGGGAGAAGGATTCTGACTCCTCACAGGATGAAGATGAGGAGAGAGAAGGTAGTGAGTGGATAGAAGAGGAGTCAAATGAAGAGGAAGACCAGCTCAGGAGTGAAGGAGCAGGAGACTCTGAGGACAGCATCATCTGTCCACAGGAAAACAGGTATGAAACCATGAAACCTTCTTTTCATTCGGCACAAACTAAACATGCAGCCATTTTGCTTCAGGTCCAAACAAATGAAGAACATCCCAGAGGAAGCAGCTGAAGATGAGGAAGAGGAGAGCGACACTGGGTCCTCAAACAATAAGTCAAAGGAACCAAGTGATGAAGAGGATATTGAGAATCTTCTGGCGCCTGAAAAGCCAATAAACAAAAAGTGAGTAAATCTGTCATAAAACACATCGTGGGACATAATTTAATCACTTTGTTCCACTTTTTCAGACAAAATGCTGTGAAAACCAAGGAGAAGCCCAAAGGTACGTTCAGGAACATCAGGAAATAAATATATTTGGCAGGTAATTGAAGACGTTCATCATTGAGATTTTTACTGAATATATTTTTCAGCCACATGTCTCAACTTGGGCATCTTCCAAGTGACGGAGGACCGAGCGAAGACGGACCAAAAAAGTGTCTCGGACGAGTCTGATCACTTTTATGACTAAATTGGACATGTTGGACACCATGAAATTCCTCCAAATAGCAACTATGCAGTATAGAAAGAGAGGAAAGCACCAGACCTCAGATGACCTCACCAGGTCGGACAACACTGATGGCGTCACTGTGTTAAGGAAGCCCAGGTTGATTCATCAGCAGCTTTCACTGTTTAGGTGGCGAAGTCTCAGCCTCTCCTTGTTTTCCAAACGCGACGGCAGTCTGGCCTGTTTGGTGGCTCTTGAAGCTCTGCATTCAGCCCCAATCCGCAGTTTGTGAATCTCTGGCGATTCCTTTTGCATGTCCACCTTTTTCCTGCCACTTTTTCCTTCCACCCAACTTTCCATCGTTTTTTTTTCCTTCTTGAACTGAACAAGTTAAATACTTTTAAACGAGATGCACTTCCATCTTTCACATGATTTTCTTCTTTGTATGCTCCATTTTATTCTTTATACATTTAATGTCTGAATGCTGAAACCACTCAGCATGAATTCATTGTGCACACATCTCAACAACAACAAAAAAAAACTAACAATTTTGATGGATAGATAAAAAAAAATTTCATGGCAATGTTTGTGAAATGCTGATTTATTTGAAATCTGCTTTTCATTAAAGTAGAACTTAATTAGGATTGGGGTTGTTGTAAAACAATATTTTAGTAATGAGTCGTACGCCCAGCATCGCGCCACACAGTTTGGCAATGTTCATTTGTCCCCCAAAACCAGGTAAAACGCCGAAAAATTAACCCTAACTAACCCTAACCCACCACAAATAATACCCAGGCGGAACACGGTGCGCTAAATAATAAAACATAAATTAACGAAGCTTCGAGACAGATAAATTATCCTCGAGGAATTTTAATAATCGAGGTACTCAAGTCATTCGAGGAATCGTTACAGCCCTAATTAGGATAAATTAATTTCAACCACCAACAGAAAACACAGTAAAAAAAACAAAATCATAAATGATCCAAAGAAAAGTTTTGTCAAATTAGCACACAGGGCAGAGGTGATTGTTGAGATAAAGCTTTAAAGAAACATTCAGGACAGAACAAAAACTGTAAAAAAAAAAAAAAAAAAAAAAAAAAAAAAAAAAAAAAAAAAAAAAAAAATGAATTTAATAATTTATTTCTGCTGCGTTTCTGAAAACAGCCCTTTAGATATTTTTGGAATATAAAAGTAGACCATTAGGATTTCACCAGGAAACAAATGCTTTTAAAATCCTGGTAAGAAAAACAGAAAACTTGTAGATGGACTCAGCTCGTTTTACATGTTCGTAACAACTTGAATCTTTATTATATCATATTTTCACAACCTGAGCGGTTAAACATGGGCTCTCTCGCTTGCCATCTTCGGGTGCGGCGCTGCGCTGGATGAGCAGCCTGCCGTACGTTCCTCCCACCTGGCCTTTGGTGAGCCGTCCAGGATTCACGCACACGCAACCCGCCACATCCTGACGATGCAAGGTGGAAGGGAGGGGGGAGTTAAAATATTAAAAACATGGTCAAGCGGACATTTGATCCAGTTTCTGACACGATTCCGAAATGTTTCTACCTTCACGAAGTAACGCAGCTCAGAGGGAACAACGAGAATATCTGGTGTGACCAACATCTGACCGTGAATCTGGAACTTCTCGTAATCCATGTTCACCTCCTCGGCCGGTGGGTACAGGGGGTAGAAACTTCAGGAAGAGACGGACATTAGTGCTTCTCGACGTGATAAAAGGAAAATCAAAAAAGGAAGACTTGGATGACATGTACCTCCTCTGAGTCAGCATGTGGTTTAGGATGCGGGAGAATCGGTCCGAGCTAGTGCCGCTGCAACACCGCACAGCTACAGTTATTAAACTGAGGTGACAGGGAGCGGAAAGAAAGGCTTCCGTCATCTGTGAACGTTTCCTCACCAGCTGATCTCCTCTGCTCCCATGTGGAACAGGATGTCAGAAGACGTCAGGCCAAAAGTCACTCCGTCGATCAGCAGGGTGCAGGGGTCAGGAACCAGGGTGACCCGCTGCACAAACACGTTAAACATCGGAGAACCATCAGAACGAGAGCTGAGAGGAGAGTCTCAGTTCACCTGCTTGTGTAAACTGATTCCTTTTAGATGACCCGGTTAGAAAAAACTACATAGTTCGTCTCAGGTGGAATATTTATAATCACCAATCCCTCCAGGATGTTGTGTTTTTCTGATCACTGCAGCCTAAAATGACTGACTTTGTCAAGCGGTTGTGGTAAAGTGGTGAGTTTTTTCACTTTTTTTTTTTTTACCATAACATAGTCTTACAGAAGAGTCAAGTATCTTCTTGAAATTTGCCCCATAATACAAATAAAATCGAGTCTTGAGGAGTTATCAGCGTGCAAAAGAAAATGTATAAAATTGTCATTCAAGTTAACAAGCAAATCCTACACAAATCAACTCAAAAGAACTAAAAACGGTTTTAGCAAAGAAACCAAAAGCCAAATGTTTGCGCTTGGAATCACACATTCTTTCATCTTGCGGGTTTGGGTATCAAGAAAAACAGGAAGTTAAAATTAGAAGGGGATGGCGGTGATTGGTCAGAAAAAGAAGGAAATGTAGAAAACGCTCAGGTGATTGGTCAGATTTGGGGAAAAGTTGCGATGACCTGTGAAAATTTAGCAAATGATGAGGGAATTTGCAGCATCACAGCTTTCTGGAGGGATTGATTTACACTTGCTGCATGTGCTGAGTCTACCAGGATCAGACCATCTATTCTGTGTGCGTGTCTGTGTGTGTGTGCGTGCGTGAGAGTGACCTGGGCCTGGGCCTGGTCCTTGCTGAGGTTCGGCAGGGTGAAGGGAGGCTGTGGGTAGATGAATTCGTGGTGGACGTCTCTCTGGGCCGGGACAAACACCAAGTGACAGCCGACACTTCACAGAAGAAAAAACAAGAACATTCCAGATTTGGGCTCAGCACTGAAACAAAAACACTCAGAACGTGTTTTTGTTTCAAACGTCGACCAGGGACATAAACAGTGGAGTCGTAGCGCACCTTCTGGTTCCATCCACAATGCTGTCGATGCAGCGATGGAAAATTGTCTCAAACGTCTCAGTCACCTTGGCTTTCTGTGAGACAAACAGCTGGACATCAGACTATGCTGCTGTAAAAACGTCTTGCTGGCTTTAAACACGGAGTGAAAACGAATCGTACCTCGATCTGTTCATGTTTGGAATCCACAAAAGGACCAAACTAGAGAAGAGAAGAAGAATAAAAGGACACGCTGCTCACCAAACACCCAGACTGCATAAAACATACTGAGAAGCTCTTCCTTCACACTGATGAGTCAGCATCTGACAGGCTTACCAGCAGGCAGACGTCAGGACGATCCCTGACAATGACATTGATCAGGTCTATCAGAGGGTCAAAGGTCAGGCTGTCAGAGGGCGTGTATGGTCCACAGGCCACAAGAATGTTCAACGGCTCCGCCGCTGAGCGAGATGAGGAGTAGAGAGGAAAACCGCTTTTTTCTCACAGATGATGAATAAACAGGAATTTATGAGTTTCTACGGAAAACTAATTACCTTCGTTGGTCTCCATTTTTGCGCCGGTGGAGTGAAAAGGAAGAGGATCACCCTAAACAAGCACAGAGTTGATGCAGGACGCGCCAACGGCTCACAACAATAAACAGAGGAAAGAGCAAAATGAGCGCCTGACCTCATAAAGCTTGGAGGCCACAAGCTTTCTTCCTGTTGTGTTCATTCCCTCCATCAGCACCACCTGAGAGAGAGAGAGAGGGGCAGAGATGGAGAGCGAGAGATGGAGAAAGAGAGTGACGATCAACAAACGGATTTACAGATGGATGGATTAAGAAAAACACATGGATGTTGGATGGATGAACTGATTTTGGACAAACTGGTGCACAAGACACATAGATGGATGGAGAAAAACATTTACATATGGATGGATGGACGAACAGAAAAATGTATGGGAATAAAGTCCAGGAATATTAGTAGATACTTTTACTCCATTTTGTTTTTCTAAACTTCTCTAGACTTGAAAAAACTTAAATAAAAACTCAGATTTTTCCAGCCTGATGGATGCCAGGACATTTGTAGGTAGATGTTCATAAATAAGAATAAGAATAAGAATAAGAATTGCTGTTTGACTGTCAGAGTTCTCGGTCAGACGGTGGGTTTGCCTCCAGCCCACCTCCTTGGCATGCTCTGTTTCTCTGGGTGGCCATATAACCTGCTGCACACTGACCTCAGCGCAGAGGCAAAGGAGAAACCACCGCACACCGCAGCTGCACTTCAGCTTTAACGGACGCTTCGCGTTCGGCTCACCTGACCAGGAAACAGAGAATACTGTTTGAGCTCAGACAGGTCGACGGGCACCAGCTGGCCGCCGTGCTCTGGTCCCGCCTCCAGCAGAACCGACTGGGCGTTCAGTTTGCCGTTGCTGTCGCAGCAAATCTGACCCAACACGGTGATGCTGTCCTGGAGGAGACGAGCAGAAACAACGAAGCAGACGGTCATCATCATCATAATCATCGTTTTTACAAATAAAGGGCTTTGAAGCAGATCATGTTAGGCTGCAACTCATAAAGCTCCAGTGAAGGACTTTAAAATGTGGACAAAAATAGCCTGACAACAGTAGAACAATATGTACTAAAAAGATAAAAGATAAAACAAGTAAATGTCTTCACTAGACATTCAGAATAATTTTACAACTAATTCAGAAGGTAAAAGTTGTCCATTAAAGCAACTGTACTATTTTCTGACAATATTTAGGTTATGCAATCAAGCTTACTAATCTAAGGAGGTAATAAATGAAGACAAAAAAAAAATCCCTAATTAATTTTTATTACTATTATTTCACATGTGCATACAATCTGGGATAATCCTGCATCTGAACTGATGCGTCCGGCAATCTGCAGAAAACACCAGTTTCTGGTGATGTAAACGGTCAATAAATGAGGACTTTATGTTTGTCCGAAGTTTGCAGAACAATTTAACTCTGAAAGAAACGAGAGGCTCAGACTGACCTGATATCTGCCTCCCTCCTACAGAGTGAAAAGATTATCAAGATGCATGAAAGAGCGATAGAGGAGATTCACTCAGTGGTCATTTTTAAGGTAAATCAAACGGACCGTTTCTTGTCACAAAGTTGCTTCACTTCTGGAATTCAGTTCAAGAAACTACGTAACAATTTTATTCATACATTTAAAAAAGTAAACTATTGATCAATACGTCTCATAATGAGAGAGTCTGGCAGCTCTGTAAGAAGACAAAGAAATCAGAGGTGGCCTAAATCTTTTACACAGATATTTGGATTTATTGCACCATGCACACCATCTCTTATGTCTGTAGTTGTTTTTATTTGAATTTGAGCAGCTTTTGTACAATTATTTACATTTTAAATTTCATCTGTCTTTAAGTTTTGAACTTCTGTGGCACGTTGTTTTGCACCTTACTGTACGGAAATGATCTATAAATGTAGTTTTGTTGGCCGATTTAAGAGCAATGAACCTGGGCAGGCAGAGAGACGGCTGAAAACTCCTCGATGCTGAAGCGAGACCTCAGCTTTTCTCCCA